AGGTAGAAGAAGAGATCCTCATTTGTGTTCCTTCCCAGATGTAGCAGGAACAAGAAAAACAAGATAGGCGAAAACGATTTACCGATGGTGTGCGTGCGTGCTCGTGTGCGTGAGGGAGGGAGGCAGGGAGAGTGAGCGAGAGAGAGAACCATGGTTGAGTTTAGGATCGGCCTTGTTTTTGTTTTTTAAGTTGCATTGTTGGTTGAACAATGCGGTAAAGAAGGTAGAAAAAAATGCATTCCGGATTATAATTTAGTCGCCTAAACGATTTGTAGTTGTTAGATTGAAACTGGATTTTATCAAATCTTAAAACTCAATTAATTTAATGCTCCGTTTACTATGATAAAAATATAGAAGGATGAAAAATTAGAAAAATAAATAAAACATCATGTTTGGTAAAAAAGAAAAATAGGAAGAGCAATGCTATTGGAACATAATTTATTGACCTAATTCACTATTACCTTTGAATTAACTGTGGACTCTATTAAACATTGAAACTTGGTATTAATTCAATAGTTTTAACGAAATTACATCATTAAATTAGTAAATTATGTCAAATTTTTAAGTCCAAATAGCATTTTTCAAATATGAATGATGAAAAAGTTGATGGATTAATATTCCTTCCAACTCACCTAAATCAATTCCTCCAAAATCGGAAAGAAAGTGAATGAAAAATTAATTATTTGTGTTGAGATGTATCTTATTTTTTTATATATCTTTTTATATATACATATATTATGTATATATTAATTTTATATAAAAATACAATAATAAAATATGTATATATATATATATATATATTAAAAAAAATTAAAAAATATTTTAAATTAAAAAAATATTTTTTCCACNTAAAATATGTATATATATATATATATATATTAAAAAAAATTAAAAAATATTTAAAATTAAAAAAATATTTTTTCCACCTTAACTAGGGATAAAAACTTTTAATTCAGCACGATGACACGACTCAAACTCGACACAAATTTTATGGCATGAACTTGATTAACTCAAACACGAAAATAAACAAGTCAACTCGTAACTCGACACGACAAAATTAGTTAAATGTGTTGAGTTATGTGTAACTAATGTTCAACACAAACACGTAATGATTCGACACAAATCTGACACGACACGACTCGATTGTCACCCTTAATCTTAGCCAGCAAAAAAAATAAAAAAATTTAGTCATTTTTATTTTTCATTCATCCGACCAAACAAAAAAGAAGGAAAATCTATTATTTCTACTTATTTTCTTGAAAGATAGAAAACGTATCATCCTACTTTTCATCCTTCCTACTTTCTATCATTCCTACCAAACGAAGTATAATAATTATATCGAATTAAGTCTTTGATTATATCTAATCTTGATTCAAAATTTTATTTAAATTTGAGTAAAAATATTAATTTGATATAAAACACTCAAATTGGCAAACTTAAATTTAAATATGGACATATTCAAATTTAAATGAGAATGAAATTTAACCATTAATTTGAGTAAAGGTTTGAATCTCCTTTGATTTGGATAAAAAGTTAATCTCTCTTAATTTGACATATGTTTGAGTATAAAATTGGGAAAGATTTTTAAGAATTTTTTTACTCAAATTTAAATTTAAAAACTAATAAAGGTTAAAATTGCTCTTAGATCCTTAAATTACTCTTAGGAAACCACTATCACCATCACCTACCACCATCCACACCCACTATCCATGATTGTCACTATCATTATCGTCACTCAAAATCCACAACCACTATCAATGTTTTTAGCCACGATTACCACCACCACCACAGTCGTTGCCGTTCACCACAAACTATCACTATCTCTCACCACCACCACCACTGCCACTACAACCCACCATCGATTACCCTCATTACAACTGATATTTAAATTTGTTTCTCTCTCCTGTATTTGTAATTTGATTTTTAGTGTGAATACAAATATGTATATGATTGATAATTTTTTTAATATTTTGTATTTTAGGGACCGACAATAATTAGTAATATAATATGCGATTTATATTAAGTTTTATCTTTAACTTAATTTTTATAGGCCGAAAGACAAACTCAACGTGTGCGCAAATGGTCTATTTAATCTAACTGACGGAAACAGCACAAGGCATATGTACGACAATAAACATATGAGAGTACAGAGGCTGGGACTAATATGGAAAACTGGTTAACTGCACAACTCCTTTCATTGACCTGTTTCGAGCAAGAGCATTTGTGGCTTGTGACTGGCATCCCGCTGCTGCATAAAGGGTGTGAGCAATATACAGAAAAATTGGGCAAACATACATACATACATACATACATACAGCATGGTCCCACACAGCTATTGGCTATATATAAAGCTCCATTGCTATCATGCGAGTGCACTTTCAAGTATGCACATGGTCAAGCTATGTATGATTTGTACTGGGCTACGTTTTTCACAAAAAAAAAAAAAAAAGAATTAAAGGACCTGTACAACAAGTATTCAGAAAAAGACAAGGCTACACCTCCACGATTGGAGTTTTATCTTTCTCGTTGAAGCAGCCAGTCCCAGTAGCCTTCCCTTGTGGTTTGGACAGCTAAGAGTTACTCCCAAGCAAAGATTGATTGATTGAACTTGTGATTAACAAAGAAATAGATACCCATGCGAGGTGATTTTGGCATAATATATGAAAAGAAAGGTACCTCTTGGTAAACTCGTGTTTATCTTGAAAATTGATGATCCTGAAATAAAAAAAGAATTTAAAATAGTTAAAAAGAGACCTAAGGAGTGGTGATTAATTATTTTAAAAATTGCTCAATCGATTCTGGTGGGTCGCAGGCGGTTCTTGGCACACGGGTTAAAAGGGCGCCGAAGTGTTTTTCGACGTATCATCTTCGATGATCAAGTCAGTTCTTTGAGAGAGAGGAAAAATAAAACACTGTTTGATGTTCTTAAGAGATAATTTTGCGTACCTTTACTTTATATTTTTTAGAACTATTTATACTCCCAAAGGCTCATCATTACTGATGAGCTAGTTAGTAGGTAGCACCTACACATGGGACAATACGCCTCCTATTTTGCACAGGAGAAGCTCCATTATTAATTGTTCAGGCTCTCGAGCAATTAATACTCTTTTTTTGATGCAAAGGCATTAAATGCTTGGGCTTTAGAGCATTAAATGCTCCTTATCTTTGGCTTCCCAAGTCATAATAGGCGTCTCAACACTGAGGATTTATTAAATGTTTGTCGGAGATTGTCATATATCAGCAAGAACATTTTTGTTTATCTACCCCTCATTCTGCACTTTATGTCATGCGTCTAACTCTCATTGGTTGAGTGTCTTGTTCATTCTTTCATTTTGACCTTGTTGTGCAGAGCACCCTTATGATCTCTAATCTAGTTTAAACTAATCAACTGTCAATCAGTAGTCTCTTCAAAAGTCGAAGATACGTGGCAAGACCAAAGTTTGAATAAGTACCCTTGGAGTAGAGGACACGTGTCCTTTTCCAAGTGGAGGTGCCCTTGAAGTCGAGGACATGCGCCTATCATAGGACAGGGGTACGTCGGTGCCGAATATACGTGTCATGTAGAGCAACAGGGTGCCTTTAGAGCCGTGGATTTGTGCCTTCATCCATGCAAAAGATGTGCCCTTGGTGCCGAGGACACGTGTCTTCGTTAGAATACAAGATATTTCCTCAATGCCGATAACACGTGTTTGTGATCTACTCCCTTCTCATAAAAGCCTCATCAATACCCAAGTGAGTTTCTTTGATATCGTAATGAAATTTATTACTGCAACTGGATGGTGAATTTATAGCTCAAGTAGTTTAAAGTTATAATAAAAAAAAATTATTTAAAATTAATTCTAATATTTTATAGTCGACCGCAAAAAAAGTAATAAATTTGAATAGTANCTAAGATTGTCATATATCAGCAAGAGCATTTTTGTTTATCTACCCCTCATTCTGCACTTTATGTCATGCGTCTAACTCTCATTGGTTGAGTGTCTTGTTCATTCTATCATTTTGACCTTGTTGTGCAGAGCACCCTTATGATCCCTAATCTAGTTTAAACTAATTAACTGTCAATAAGTAGCCTCTTCAAAAGTCGAAGATACGTGGCAAGACCAAAGTTTGAATAAGTACCCTTGGAATAGAGGACATGTGTCCTTCTCTAAGTGGAGGTGCCCTTGAAGTCGAGGACATGCGCCTGTCATAGAACAGGGGTACGTCGGTGCCGAATACACGTGTCATGTAGAGCAACAGAGTGCCTTTAGAGCCGTGGACTCGTGCCTTCATCCATGCAAAAGATGTGCCCTTGGTACCGAGGACACGTGTCTTCGTTAGAATACAAGATATTTCCTCAATGCCGATGAGACGTGTTTGTGATCTACTCCCTTCTCATAAGAGTCTCATCAATACCCAAATGAGTTTCTTTGATATCGTAATGAAATTCATTACTGCAACTGGATGGTGAATTTATAGCTCAAGTAGTTTAAAGTTATAATAAAAAAAATTATTTAAAATTAATTCTAATATTTTATAGTCGACCGCAAAAAAGTAATAAATTTGAATAGTACCCCCCAACACTTCCCTTGGAACGTTTACAATAGAAATGATTCTTGTGTCTGTGATACATGCAAAAATTAAGAGGGAAGGAAAACAGAAGCCTTGTTTGCTGGTAATCAATCAGTCAATTGTCAGTGTCATGCCTACAGGTCAATGGCAAAATCATGGGTTTCACAAGAAAGCAATACAAGGATGGGATGGTATCACAGACACAAGTACAACACAAACACAGGGTGGTACAATTAAAACTTTTCGACTCGACTCAGACAAACCACCAAACAAGTTCTACTTCTACAAATACAATCCATATCTTGCTTGAAACATTGCGTAAGTTGACTGACTGTTCAACCATTCGATTTCCACACGTTACATGGTTCAACGATTTCCATTGTTGAAAGCTCGAAATAATCCACCATCAAATGGCAGAATTCACGGAACCCTTCTCTTTTCTCTTGAGGAAGGTAAGGTGGGGTGCCATTTAATAGTGAGAGATAATGACTGAATGCATTTAAAAGATGAAATTGGTCAAGGCAATGTGTCAATCTTTTATGCCTGCTCAAGGCTGTAATACTCTAAAGTTCATTACTAATACCTTTTCACAATTATCATTTGTTAAGGCCGTGGTGTAAGAGAGAATGGTTTTACAGAAGACTTGAGAATAAATCACCGCGATCCTCTATTTCCTAGTCTCTCGTATCAACAAAGCTATATCAAACCATGGAAGGCGGCTGTATCCAAGAGTGCTGCTTTTATTTGGCCACTTTGTACGTCCAGATCTCCCTTGCATTTCTAAGAAAAGCAAAAGAAGCATCGTTACATCCAGGCAACCATTAAATGAGCTACAACTAAAGATGTTGATCTTTCTCTTCTTTTTTTTGGCTAATATATGGTATATTTGGTGGGCATATTGCTGCCTATTTATTTACGCTATTAGGATTGGACGAATATGAAAAGCAGATACAAAGTGATTACCAGAAGAGTCCAGCCAGTAAACAAAAGAATTGCAACATGAAAATTCAAGAAGCAAGAAATAAAGAAGAGACTATTTTTCAGATAAATTCATCACTGACGTTATCTCATCAGGTGTCCGCGAAAGTAACTGAGCAGAACAATGAAACAGTAAAGATACAAAACCGGGTATTCCAACGTGAAGATTGATACAATTCCTTTAGTAAAGAATTATCAAAAGTCAAAGATTTAACAAAACTTCCTTGAGATTCATCAAAATAAGGAATATTGGTAGAGTCCTTGATTATCCCTTGCACATATACAATGGGAAAGGAAGCTTACCTCGGCTTTGAAAACATCCATGACAAACCCATTGAAACAACTGATAACCGCTTGTTGAACATCTAGCCCAAGGTTATCCAAGGCCATCATAGTGGAGAGCAAGAGACCAGGTCTACGAGTACAAAACATGTGGATATTGAACTCATTCCCTTCTCTTACCTCGACATGAATCTAAAAATCAAGAAAAAAAATATCCACATGTCACAACTACTGTTAAAAAATGAGACACAGGTCACTGAGAAGTGGTATTTACAAATATAAATATCATGAAATGCCACGGAAAACATAGCACGACCAACGGGAAAGTATACCAGCCGTCAAAGATAACTATCCTCCATTTAGAAGCTGCACTTTTACCAGCACAGGAGTTCATATGAACTAGTCTAAAGCCAATAAAGATAAATGGAAAAGCGCCACGATTGCAGTTACAGTCTAATGAAATGCAAGCAGGTAAAAGCAATTCTGAATGACTCGAAAATTTAAGAATGACGCATGAGTAATTAATGCTGATAACATTTGCCAATTATGAAATAAAATTTAGGCTTGCTAGCAGACATAAAGAAAGGGTGATGATTAATAATAAATTAATGCCCATCTCAGGGGAATGGAGAACTGTAAGAATGGCCTGAGATTTACCCTAGGTTGCTGATAATTGGGACTTGGCAACGAGTTTCCGTTGTGCTCTTCCTTGATGTAGTACGGCGGAGTAGGTGCAGTGGGTGTCGATGGAAGAAAGCTTGCAGAAGACTGCAGTGAAGAACCGGGTGGTGTTGACTGCCTTTCGTCGTTGAGGTCCTTGATTCTCTGTAGTAACTCATTCAAATATTCAATGGCATCGGCAAGGATGGAGGCTCTATCCATCTATAAACAAGAGAATGTGTAAATTCCTGCATTTTTATTGTTTCTGAAGCAGGAGGTAACTGAATTATGTGGCCTCAAAAGTAATTCTATCACGGTCGAATAATGAATAAACCCCTCTAAATTCTAATTTGTAAACTATTTTGGTTGAATATTCTGATTTGAATAATTCAACTTTGAAAACAAGATAACATTTTTCCCCCACAAATCATACATTAATCTAGATGATTTCTTCTCCCGAATCTTAAGATGAGGGGAAAAACAGTGTCAAATGTATTTGAAATCTTCTGAATCCCCATTTTTGCGAATTCTAGTGCCTTGAGTCTGAACTCTTAGATGCCATCTGACATTTCTTATTAACAACAAAGAGTTTAGGAAAGTAGCAATACTAAATTAGAACACCATGGAAAAGGGGAATAGTTAATTTGAAAAGGACCCTATGAAAAAACTGTGGAATAGTGAATTGAACAACATTTCAGAATCTCAGATAACCAAGGCCCTCATGTAGAAGACATACAGGTGAGTATAGTGTCTGACCTTGCTAATCCTTGGGACAACAGACCTCAGCATGTAAAGCCTATCATTAACCTTCTTTCTCCGCCGCCTCTCTGCCATAAGATTTTTTGCCGGTAGTCCCTTCTTCTTGTCTTTCTTATTTCCGGTGATTACTGAAGTATTGTCCTTCGAATTATCCCCGCCATTATTTGCATCTCCCTCTACCTTGTAATCCTCTGTTTGGATATCAGAATCAGAAATCAAACTCGAGCTATCAATTTCGTCCATCTCACCCTCTCCAGTGTTGTGCTCCTTCCACAACATCCCTTGCTCTTCCTCCACCGGCCTTTTGCCCTTATCGCGGTCAACCACAGGAGGAATTTGCGAACCAGAAGCAGGCAAAGTTTCTAGAGGTCTCAATCCATTATCTCTATTTAGAAACGAAGGATCCCGATAACCATCAAAAGACTGTGAGCCCAATGCACTAAAACCACCGTCGATGGCTGCGCCACCACTATTTTGAAGCAAATGGGTCATAGAATCGGATCCTAAATCAAACTCAACTGTTTCTGGTAGTGGGTTTAATCCGTTGAACTCCACCAGCCCACCTTGTGCTCTGTTTATAAAAACAGGGGAATTGGAAGCTTGGTTTTCATGGATAGGCGGCTCAACAAATCCAGGGTCACAAAACAACTCGAAGGGGTTGTCTAAAGAGTAGTTACAAGCCAACTCGACGGCGCTGAGTAGTGATGACAAGTAGGGTTTGGGTGGGAAGAACGGCTGTGACTGAGTTGGGTCGAGACCCAACACCAGAGATGATGAGTCCATGGGATGCAAGAGTAAATTGTCTGGCAAACTACGAGTAGTTTGAGGGAATAATTGATGGTCGGTTTGTGGGCTTGGAAAGTTTTGGTGAAACTGAGTTGGGTGAAGGTGGTGGTTGCTGACGTTCCAGTTTTGGTTGCCCAGAATTGGGTTGAAGGTAGAGAGAGAATTCATTTCTGGTTTGATGTGACCCACTCTGTGGATTTTCTGGATTTGTTGTTGCTCGTCGTCTTGTTGTTGGCCTTGCTGAGGAATACAAAGGGCGCTGCTAGTTATCGGTTGCATATCTCAAAGTTTGGCTCGCCGCGGATTGGATATCAATGGAAGGAAAATGGAAAGAGCAGGAGGACGGAAATGGATTTTGATAACAGAAAGGGCAGGCAAAAGCGCATCAGGGTATTGAAGGGTAAAGGGGCTCGTCCCTCTACTGAGAAAACACCATCATGTGTTGGTGTTGGTGTTGGTGTTGGCATCTACTCTCGAGAAGGAGTCGAGTGATTCAGAGACTCGAATGCTTGGAACTTTATACTGTTTTTGCTGACACAATCTGTTTTGGTTCCTCCTCCCCTTTTATCACACCAGATTTGCAGCCTTTTGGTGGTCACCGCCTACTGGCTTCTGCATCTGAAAACAATGCTGTGGGACTATCAAAACTACAAAAGTACCCTTCAAGATATCTTCAATTTTTTTGCTCCATTGAGGCAGTATTCACAGGTCATTAGACATGGATTCCTTTGGCCTAAGTCCCTCTACTAGATTTGCATATAATATTCGGCTCCGACTCCAGGGATAAGACTCCTTAGAATATGGCTATATCCCTCAAAATTATGATCCTTTTTTATTTGAATTGTTTCACTTCGANTTTTTTTTTTTTTTTTTTTTTTTTTTTTTTTTTTTTTTTTTTTTGATTCTCTACCCTTGGGAAGTTTTTTTTAAAAAAATTATGAATGGCAAAGCTTTTAAGGTGACTGAAGAGTCATCTACACTCCCATTGCTGTTAGTGTGCGTAATTACAAAAGAAATAAGGTAGAAAGAGAAAGAGAGAGATAACAATAGAAAAAGAAAAAAATAAAATAAACTCTTATCAAGGGTGGTTAGACAGGGATTCATAGGCGATTAAAGGAGAATAAAGCAAGGGTATTTTATGGATACGAGAGGTTGGTGACACGGGTATGTATGCGCGTGATTGTATATTGATTTCACATATATATATATATATATACACACACACTAACGATACCTTGTACCTAAAATTATTTTATATTGAATTATAATATTGTACATGCATTGGAATGTGTGTATGTATGTATGTGTTTAGTTGTGTGTTATGAAATATGTGTTGGGTTTTAAAAATTTGAGAGAGAAAAGTGTGTGTTGGGTTTTTGAAATTTGAGAGGAAAAAGTGTGTTGGATGCGTGAAATTTGGGGAAAAAAATATATCCTCGTAAGTTCAAACATCTAACAAAGAGAGATTCAGATTATTTTAAAGTAAAATATAAATACATTTAACGAACAATGTAATCCTAATATAAATAACGGTTCAGATCATCTCATAAATATTCATCTAACGATTTACTATAAATAATAAATTTTATTTTTTCACCCAACATCGTTTCTCGAGTCACGTCTCTCTCACTTCTGCCCATCTCTCTCCAGTCTCTCACGCCTCATCCTGCCTTGCAAACACATCCCCCAAAATCTCTCGCTCCCATATTCACGCTTCATCACCTCCTCTTCTCTCGAAATCGTGCATTCAATCACGCACTTCCCCTCTTTCAGTTTATAATTTCTTATCCTAATATCCTCTCCCAATCATTTCTTCCCCCAATACTAGCCCTAATTTCCCACCCTCGATTCTCCCAACTCTCTTTTCCCCAAATTCCCTTTCCAAATCAAGTCCTTCTCTCGCGCTTTCATGTCGAAACCCAGTTCAGGGTTGAGTCTAGAGAGGCATGTGAAGCTTTTGCTAGTGTAAATGTTCCATATATGGGCATTATCTGGGAGGGGATTAATGGGTTTGCGGGGAGAGTGGTGGGGAGCTTTGCGGTGGTTCTGGAGAAGCAACAGCGGCGAGGGAGGTGGTGGCAGCGGCGAAGGATAATGGATTCAGCAAGGCTTTCTATTTTTCTCCCAAATCTTCTTTCTCCCTCCCTGCTCTCTCTTCACTCCCACTCTCTTCTCTTCGTGTGTCGCTGCCCAGCCACCGCCAACAAAAGCAAGCAGTGACAACCTGTCGCCGGAGTAGGTACAGCAGCCAAGTACTCCATCTCTTTATTCTACCTCTCTCTCTTCCAATCCCCCACCACCTACCCATCTCTCTTACTTTCCCCCTACAACTCTCACATAGAGAAATTCGACCAAACTCAACACACNAGATACACCAGCCAAGTACTCCATCTCTTTATTCTACCTCTGTCTCTTCCAATCCCCCACCACCTACCCATCTCTCTTACCTTCCCCCTACAACTCTCACACAGAGAAATTCGACCAAACTCGACACACACACACACACAAATGGACACTCACGCATACACACATATTCGACTTTCACACATCTTCAGTTGTTTTATTCTTTGTGATTTTTTTATGTTCATTTTTTTTATCTTAGATTTGGGACAGGACATGAATCTAGTTGGAAAGAATATTCACTGGAAATTGCGATTCTTTGAATTTTTTGGTTTGATTCCATTTGTGGTTTCATACTGATTTTGTTTTTTCGATTTGTTCCTAGGCAATTCCATTTGTTATTTGATTGATCTCAGCTTAAATTTGTTTCTTTTTGGTTACAGTGGCTGTCTCAATCACAATAGGACAACGATTGATTAAAAAATAGTAAGGATACCTCGGCTTACATAATATTACTATCAGATCTAATATTGAATGTGGGTTTTCAGCATTTGGGACGTAGTGTTAGATGTGGAAATTTTTGAATGCACCATAACTCTACCTCCTTCAACCACCATGCCACGTTACCAGAGACAGCTTCAGTCACCTCCATCCCCACAACCTCACATGAAAGAGAAAGCATAACTTGTTCAATGATTTCATGAGTTTCAGCTTTAGAGATTTCTTTTGATTTTATTAGTTGTTTTTACAAACATTTACTTTGAGCAATGTTTAGATTCGCATAACTCCCTTGGCAAGATGGTTCCTAAATAGCCGTAGAGTTTGGCCTTTAGCTTTTGCACATTGCATTGGATAATCTATTGAAGAGGTGTGAGCAGATTTGCTTCAAATATAGATGTCCTACATGCAGACAATTTGCGAGCCTCATTGACAATGGGCTACATGTATGAATTGTCTTAAATGTTTATCTTCTTATGATACTTAGATTTTTCGTGCTTAAAAATATTAAAAAGATAGCAATATATCTCAGTTCCTTCAATTACAAGTGGATGCCAATGCATTAATGCATTTAGCTTTTGATATCAATTTTTCATGGTTGAATTTTTTTTTTTTTTTGTAATTGAATGTTTTAAACGATATACTGTAGCTTGAGGAATGCCTTATTTGCTCCTTGGCCTGTGTTTTCACCTTTCTTGCTTTGTTAATGTTTTTTTATTAGTTTTGTTCGACTCTTTGTTTAGTTTCATTCGTACTGGGTGGCAGTGATTTTGAAAGAGGTGTGTGGTGACTTTTAGTGTGGTTTTTGAGAAGTGTGGTAGGCATGGGCTCATTTTTTTTAATGATTTTGGGTAAACTAGCATACATTTTTACAGTTTATTTCTCTTTTTTATTTTTTGTTTATTGGGATTGGCATTCCCATTCTTTTTTTTTTAGCATTTTCTTATCCTCTGATTGGTTATGAATGTGTTTGTTTGGTGTATGGTTTGGGGGTTTGGTTGTTTGAATTGTGTAATTTGGTGGATTGTTGAGGCTATTGGTAATGGGTTGCTTTGATTTATGGTTGGTGGTACATAAGGCTAGGTCATTATATTGAATTTGTCTTATGATTTGATTTGATTTCATTGTTGATTTGAAATTTCTTAGAAAATTTTGGCAGACATGGAATGAAATAAGATTGATTTTGTTATTTTTTTTTATGGGCACGATCAAGTACCAATGCATTGTAATTAATATATGATGCTTGGCATGTGTGTAGTCTTAATATGAATGTTTCATGGTTGTATGTAGTTATTTGCAAGCAATGAATTATTACAAGATACTTCATCACTTCCCTGAGAAATTATTAATAATTTTTTGTGATATTGGTTATTTGATTGGATTTTTCTATTTGACATTTTTCTTTATATTACACTGTGCCTTTAGGTATAGGTCTCAATTTTCAAGTTCATGGCAGATAAGGAAGGGAGGAGCGTTTCAAATTCAGCCCTTCATCAGTGCAAGATTTTTGGCTACAAAACAAAATGAAGGAGAATTTAAATACTCGAAACTCAACTTCTTAGAGGATTTTTGGGGGGATAATACTGTTTTTGTGGCAGGAAAATATCTTCAATTTTTTTCCTCCATTGAGGCAGTATTCACAGGCCATTAGACATGGATTCCTTTGGCCTAAGTCACTCTACTAGATTTGCATATAATATTCGGCTCCAACTCCAGGGATAAGACTTCTTAGAATATGGCTATATCCCTCAAAATTATGATCCTTTTTTATTTGAATTGTTTCACTTCGATTTTGGTGTAAATCTAGAATGAATAAGGTGTAAGGTTCAAAGTCCTCTTAGTTTTTTTTTTTTTTTTTTCCGCACGGGCAGTTACTAATATATATCATATATCACTGAATGCTTGCAAATCCATTCAATCACGCCGACGCTATTGATAGATCAATGTGAAAGTAACTCCCTTTGAACATTATAAATCCTTTTCAAATTTATAAATAATGAAATGTCGATAGAAGAAGTATATCCTAAACTGGTTATGATTGAAAGTTGTTTTGGAAAGCAACGACTCCTCCATCCTTCCCTGTGTGTCAGTGTGTGCAAGGGAATTGAGAGAAACGTGTTAAAAGTTAAAATGAAAATGACATTTTCGGTCATAAATAGAGCAATGAAAGAAATTAAGGAGGCAATTTGTGAGACTAGTTAAGTCAGAGAGGATGTTGGCAATTTGGGAATAAATTGAAAACTCCAAGTTTCTTGTGAAATCTGGCTATCGCTTCACCTAATACACACTTCTCATCCATCAACCCTCTCTTCTCATCGTTTCTGCATACCATTACCAACCAGCTTAGCCTGCTGTTCTCTATGTCTATGTGAGCCTCTAAGTTTTCACATTCAAGTGTAGGATCTCTAAAAGTGGATTTGACATAGGGAAATGGGTGCGGTGGTGCGTCCACTTCTATATTCTCAGGAATTCCTCTCTTACAGTGTTGAAGGAGCTGGACTTGTCTGAAAGAATTTGAAGATGATCCCATCCATGCTGGCCACTCGATCGAATCAATTCAGATCGCAACTGGATAGTCATACCATAATTTCTGGTAAGAACTTGATGTTATTTTTGCAACACACCCAACACTTAAGACGCTGAAGCAGAAGAATAGAACCGCCGCATATGCACGGGCTGTCATTTGGGAAAGTTGACTCCACACCACACCACACTCTACTCAATCGGTAGAACACCCTTCTAGAGGGTGTCAGCTGTTGCAGTACGTACTCGCGTACGCGAGGGTCTTGTTGTTAAAGATTCTTGACCTGCGCATCCTGAGTGAGTTAATGATCATGAGTTGCGTGGTCTAAACTTAGATGTATGAGTTAGAAAGTCCAAACTTAAGCTTGGCAAATTTTTGGTATCATCAACTAGTCGTCGTCTCCAAACTCTGCACAGCACAGGCACAGGCACAGGCACAGTGGAGTCCTAGATCTGTAAGAATTAATTATGTGCATGTTGAAGGGCTCCGAATCAGTTTCCTTACATCTTGCNCATGAGTTGCGTGGTCTAAACTTAGATGTATGAGTTAGAAAGTCCAAACTTAAGCTTAGCAAATTTTTGGTATCATCAACTAATCATCCTCTCCAAACTCTGCACAGCACAGGCCCAGGGACAGGCACAGTGGAGTCCTAGATCTGTAAGAATTAATTATGTGCACGTTGAAGGGCTCCGAATCAGTTTCCTTACATCTTTGGGAAGAAGCAGAAAAAAACAAAAGGGTTGGGGAGTTGTTTTTGATTTTTCACATCACAGCCACAGGTGTGATGGGTTTAGTTGGTTACTTTGCCATAGACATCCTCATTATCCGGATTAAATTACCATTTTGACCAAAGAATGAAAAAGATGAAATTGGGTTGGGGAGTTGTTGAAGGGTCTGAATTTTCACCAGACAGACTTAGACTTGGTCCTATCCTAGACGTTACATCGGTCTGTTGAAATGTGTGGAAGGAACAGAACAGCTAAGTAATTAGGCATGTAATCCGATTTGAGTTAAGGGAACTTTGGTTATACATAGTGNTCATTATCCGGATTAAATTACCATTTTGACCAAAGAATGAAAAAGATGAAATTGGGTGGGGGAGTTGTTGAAGGGTCTGAATTTTCACCAGACAGACAGACTTAGACTTGGTCCTATCCTAGACGTTACATCGGTCTGTTGAAATGTGTGGAAGGAACAGAACAGCTACTAATTACGTAAGTAATTAGGCATGTAATCCGATTTGAGTTAAGGGAACTTTGGTTATACATAGTTACTACATAATATATCCAAAGATAATGCATGCAACACCGCATTAAAATATTTGAACTATAATTCACCCAATTGAATTAATTCCACAACTAACCCTAAAACAGCCAGCCAGCCAGCCCCTTTCCTGCCTTCATCCATAAAATTAATATGTAATTTTTATTATATATTAATTTTATCTCTAAAATATTCGGTTTATTTTTAAACGAGATATACGTAAGGGGGGGGTGGGCGTCTACTCTCTTGATGCGTTCAGACTACAAATGGATTGTTGTCTTGCCTGCCTGCAATCACCGCTGCATATTCCTTTCAATCTGTAGCTGCCTGACAAAACTCCAAAAAGAAGACGATCAATCCAACTGAACTAGAGAAAACCCACTTCATTCCGCTCTTTCTTTACTCAATCACTCCTCTGATGGCTGAGTTACAGCCGCCGGAAGCCCCACCTGACCCCGCCCCAACCACCACCACTATCACTGCCGCCACTCCAATAGTACCCGTTTCCTCCGAAATCGACAACACCACCAGCAATATCGGCACAAGTTTAGGACCAAAACGCCAACGGCGGCCGAGTGTCCGCCTGGGCGAGATCGGAGACCCACCAGCCACTATCTCCAACGATTCTCATCCCAGACGACCCAAAACCACCTGGAAATTTCATAAACACCCGAGGTTAGTCACTAAAACCTCCAAAACTCGACCTTTGACCAACCTCGTTAACGGGGGTGATAATTACCATGATAACCTGGACACCAACACCACACACAACCTCGAATTCGGTAGCCGAATGCCCAAATTGAAAAAACCTACAAAAAAAATACGAACCAATTTGGCGGCCGTAGCCTTGAAACTCGACAACGGCGGTGTCGTTGGGGATAATAGTAGACAAGATAATGACGATGGAAAAGCGTTCAGGGAATTCGAAGCAGAGGATTATTCGGAGAGTCCGGTGAAAGAACAGAGCCCAGTTCAGTCGATTGACAATGCGGAGTTGGATTTTTGGCATCGGAGGCCAATTAGGGCTAGGGTTTCCAAGAGTCGTGATGATGAGAATGGAAAGCCGGAATCGGATTCTCGGGAGGAACGGAAATGCGTGACAAGCAATGAAGGAGTAAGAGATTGGCTGATTGGGCTTGGATTGGGGCGTTATGCGCCGGTTTTCGAGATACACGAGGTGGACGATGAGGTTCTACCCATGTTGACATTGGAGGATTTAAAGGATATGGGGATAAATGCTGTTGGTTCGAGGCGGAAAATGTACATCGCCATTCTCAAGCTTCGGAAGAGGTTTTCGTGAAGGGCATTAACAATTCATGGCAGGAACAAAAAACTTCAATGCATGTCTGAGAAGAGGAGAGAGGTTTGAGTTTATTATTTTTGTACCTTTTTTTTTAGGATTTATTTGGGTTTTCTTTTTTCACAAAAAATAATAATAATAATAATTAATGATATGATTTTTGTAGTAGTAAGTTTTGGAATTGAATTGGTTGGTTCTTACATCATTCAAGAGAGTTTTTGGAATTCTATGTTTTTTCATCTTATTATTGCCAAAGAAAAGAAAGACAGACCTACCTTGAACTTGTTTCTGTACGGCATGGCGTGGCAGGAAGCTCTCAATTGCATACATGATATATCAATGTTGACTCTCCTTAACCCAAAAAGTTTACAAACAACATATTTTTTGCCTTCAATATTTATTATCGGCTATTCTTTTTTTTTTTTTGTTTTTCTCTTTGGTTTGATACCATACCTGTCTTTTATCCGATTCTTAAGTTTAAGTAGGTGGTGTTGTGTAAGCATATATTCAGAGAGGGACCCGGATAAGTTTTCATTAAAGGCCTCAAGAATTTGAGAAAAGTTAGGTGGTCTAACTAGATTTCAGTCATTAGGAAGTGAAACTACAATTTCGTAGTTGCTGATATTGTTAACGTGCTAGAGGACCGCTACTTCTTTTGAGTCACCCCAAACTTTTAGTCCATTCTCTTTAACAAAAGCTTTGGCTACCAAAGGAGAAATTTCTGCTACTTTAAGTCCAGTAGTAGTAGGAGTAGCTACGACCATGGTGGCAGGTGTATTATGGATAATCTGGCATGCTGATCATGAATAAATATCCATGCCATGCCATGTGTCCTTCCATCGTTGGGTGAAAAATTTGAATATCCGGGTTTGAGAAAAAGAGTGAAACTTGTTTTTTTGCTTGTTTTGACCTCAAATTTAAATTGGGCAAAGGTTTGCGAAAGGATGGGAGATGCCCCTGCTAATCAAAAGTTCCTCTGGAAAAGGTCGGCAGGCCGACTTTTAAGTTAAACTTGGTATTTGGTCATCTCAAACCGAGGAAGGAAATAAATATAAAATTCTCTAAACATCATGTTTGCAAGAGTTGAACAGCTTCTTCATCTGCTATTCAAAAGCTTTATCTCTCCTCTTCGATTTTTCTGTGCTTAAACTAAAATGCTCGCACATGAGCTCCTGCCTTCTTTCCATAGAGGAGCAAGACACTAACTTCCTAAATGACTGGAAACTTGATTATAGAGGAGCATCATTTATCAAGCATATCATCACATAATTCGACACCCAACTCGGCAAAGACCAAAAAGAATCACAATATGCTCTCTCCCAGGATATATGCACAAGGGCAAGGGCATGAAAAAAATAAAAAGGTAAAAAGGCAGGTCCGAGTAGGATAAAACTAACTTGTATAATAACCCATCCCCTGAACCCCTACCTCCTGCCAATGCAGATTTACTTTCAAGGCCTTAACCAGGGCTTGGTCAATGGCCTTGCAATACCTAAATTTCTTGTTCGTCCAAAAACCCAAATCTGAAAACATGTAAAATGGTTGGCCTAGCATGAAAAATATTTGGTGTAATTGAATAAGGGCCAGACCATCCGTACACTACATACAATTTCCGTAGAACCAATGATGCTGCAACCCACAGTCAATAACACTATAGGTGTAGACTACCATCATCCGGTGAAAAGATGAAAGCATCCTGTAGATTCATTGTAACGTTTTTGGTGATTTCACCGTGGTTGGCAAGCAGCAGTGCATTGCAACAGATGATAGGCCAATTTCTCATTCAGTGAGGAATTTCTACACAAAAAACCACCAAGGAATTCGAAAAGACTTGACAACAGCTTATCAGTGCACGTGAGACCAAGTCATTTCAGATAAAGAATGTCATAGTGGCCCGGTCGGTATAGCAAGGTAATAAATGGATTGATGGGCTCAGGGCCACCAACAGTGGCAGCATCAGCGGGCAGATCACCAGTGAGAGGAGTGAAATCATGATGATTTACACTTACAACACCATTATCACATGAGCTGCGGTCTAGATAAACAACACGAATTGGCACACCCAATGCATCTGACAGGGCTGTAATGTGCACATGGTCACTCTCTTCGCCCATTGGTTCCACAGACGACTTGCAAAACTACATCAAAAAGGAAGCCATAAGAAAAGACATGTAGGGGTAAAGAACACAAAGTTTTACCAACCAAAGGGACCGTAAACATACTCTCAATCCATAAAAACAAATGAAAGGGGGGCAATTTAGTAGTAGGAAAAAACAAATGAAATCATTGAATTACAGATGTGTGATTGCAAGGGGGGCAATTTAGTAATTTTGACAAAACAACACTTCCAATTCTACAATATAGTCATTTTCACCAACCATAAGTAGCACTGTAGGCCAGAGGCAGCGAGGTGCGATCCATGGATCAAAGATTAGTTGCTTACTTCTTTTTGCACTACAATTGTCTGATAATAATGGTTCCTCTCCCTCAAGACAATAAAAAAATTTCTTGAGCTTTGTGCACATACACAGTGGAATCTATTATCCTTTTCCTGTTGTTTCCTTTTTTATTGGACAAATGCCGAGTTCCCAGATCTACAATCAATACCTATATCTTTTGTTAACGTCAAATTATTCAACTACAAAAACAAAAAGATGATGCATGACAAGATAACTAACCTGTTCTACCGTCGCATTGGTCAAACCCAGTATAAATGGCTCGAAAAATTCCGAGCGTTTGCGTATTTCACCGGAGGTAACGAATCTGAAGAACATAACAACTAACGAACAAAAAATGTTAGGAGGTATATAAAGGTAAAAAACGCCACATGTTCATTTGCCCAGTGTCTTCTCCTCCAAAATACTCAAAATTGGTTTCGTCAATGTCACTCACCATAGTCAGATACCGACTGATCTCGACTTCTCTGTACGAGTTCATCGTGACTGAAACCAGAAGAATCATATTAACTCCAGTCTTTCAGCTAGTCGATCAAAATAAATCAATGTGAACATCTATATCTTCTGTAGGGAAGTTTTAAGCATAAAGTTTCAACAAACCTAATGGAAGCTTCACTCCCTTGAAGAACACTTTCAAGCTGTTCGAGGAACAACTGAAAAGATTTACACGAATTTAAAATTAGAGGTGCAGAAGCAAACACGAAGGAAAAAATTTCATTTGAAAACTGACAGGCTAATCAAAGTTTGAACATTAGAGTGCAAAACAGCTTAAACAAACAGAATTGACATGACAACAATCAAGATATCTCTCCATTTTCTTTTCCTAACCTCCCCACACACCCAAAAAAAAAAACCTCAATATATGTGCTGCCAAAGCGCCATCAAAATTATAGGAAGGAGAAAAAATGGTAAGATCTTCTCACGAAATTATAGGATCCAAAAGCTCTTTTTCCTATACCGGTTTCTACTAAGAAATTGTAGGGTAGTTCAGATTGTACTCCATTGAAAAAGATTGCAAAACATCCACAATGAACAACAACTCTGTTCTACAATCCGCTAGTCAGCTAAAAATCCTCTAACTAGTCAATATGTCCAAGGTTTATTGTCTACAAAAAGCACTTTCTAGTGATTGCAGTAAATAAAAATGACATTTTTAGGACTCCACAACTTCGCCAATACAAGTATAGAATTCAAACTAGTCACGATCCAGATGAATTCCTTCTTTGTCCTCTTATGGGCAGATGTATAGACTTAGAACATTTTTGAAAGTGATATAGAAAAATAGGGGGGGGGCTCAAACTCAGCTTAACAAAGCCTTATCCAAACTATTTAGGGTTACCTGCATGAAACTTGATGATACACAAATTGGTGTTGGGCAAAATCAACAATCAAGAATATGCACGGGTGCAATTAATAAGCAGTAAATAGGATAATCAATGGCAAAACAGTAAATAAGAGCGAACAAGCAGATTTGTAATGGTTCAGTTCAGGTAACCTACTCCACTCTCAGGAACGACAGCGGTGGCCGGAGATCTTTATTGATGAATAGTGTAACCGAAAAAGTAACTCCAGTGTTTTACAGTGCTTTGGAGAGAGAGAGAGAGCAATGTGTGTAGGAAGGTATATTATGTGTAGGGATCTCAAGGTGATGAAGGTCAGCCCTCCATGTGCAGAGGACTTTCATTATATAGGTTTACCAGGGCAGTGAGGTGGTGACGTGAGAAAGGAGGTCTCTATCACTTTGGTAAGTTCCATTTTAGTAAGACTCAATCTCCATCCCGAGATTCTTTTCCTCGTGCTCCTATTCACTCGGAGAGGGATACTGGATTGATCTTGATCTTGATCTTGGACTTGACTCTGAGCCTGGCTTCGAGTTGGTGTGGCTGGAATTGTATTGGAGCACCGAAGCCAAGAGAAGCAAAGAGGAGGCGGCGCCCAACGGGCTGCCATGCCTTCCTGCTTTGGGCGTTGGCCTTGGGACTTTGGGTGTTGAACTCTTGATGCCTTCATTTCTAATGGGCTGACCTTGCTCTGTTTGGGCTTCCTTGGTTTATTTGAATTGAGCTTAGCCCAGTAGAATTCGGGCTCATCAAATCTTATGATGAGATTATGCTTAGTTTAGGGTCATTCTTTTGTTAAATAAAGAGCTATCGCAGACTTCTTCATTATCAAAGTCAAAAGGGTGGAACATTGAATTGACCAAGACGCACATAAACAGATTCATAGAGCACATCAATCAGCGGATTTTTGTTGAACTGGTCAATTTATCGTTCTTTCTAACAATTGATTTATGGTGACCAGAACAATGTCGATTTCAGATTCTCTGGTTGATCGATTTCTTTTTGCATCTAAGTTCATTGACATTGTGTTTTTTTAATGTTTTCGTGGAAATGAACGGTTCTATTGCTAGAGTAGTTGGTCCATCTACAAAAGAGCAGCAGGATGCTGTAGACACCATCGACTCGGCTGTTCTTGCTCCACCTCATCGCTTGCCCAGAGCAAGGGAGGTCAGCTTTAGCTTTATGTCTCTGGTGGATTCTTTTTTCTCTGGAGATCTTCATCTCCCCACTGCCATGTCACCTCTTACAAAGCGCACTCTCTGTTCTCCTTAAAGTGCTTCTTCTGTACAGACATTACCTCTTTAGCAGATGTGTGAGAGGGTGTGCTTTGTAAGAGGCGTGATGGCATTGNTCTCTGGTGGATTCTTTTTTCTCTGGAGATCTTCATCTCCCCACTGCCATGTCACCTCTTACAAAGCACACTCTCTGTTCTCCTTAAAGTGCTTCTTCTGTACAGAAATTACCTCTTTAGCAGATGTGTGAGAGGGTGTGCTTTGTAAGAGGCGTGATGGCATTGGGGAGATGAAGATCTCCAGAGGAAAAAGAAGAAGAATATCCCCCCCCACCCCCAAAAAAAAAAATTGTCCGAAGACATAAACTTAGAGCTAAGCTCCCTCACTCTGGGCCGAGGAAGAACAGCCAAGTCAACTGTGTCTGCTGCATCCTGCTGCTCTTTCGTAGATGGACCAACTACTTNGAATATCCCCCCCCACCCCCAAAAAAAAAAATTGTCCGAAGACATAAACTTAGAGCTAAGCTCCCTCACTCTGGGCCGAGGAAGAACAGCCAGGTCAACTGTGTCTGCTGCATCCTGCTGCTCTTTCGTAGATGGACCAACTACTCNATAAAGCTTCGAAAAAAGCAGTTTCCATCTCCCCTTGTTCTCCTGATGGAAGCATACTGTTCACTCAGCACCTGCATAAATGTGCAAATATATTTAAGTAGCCACAAGATGCAAGAAGAACCAAAAAGCTAAAATGACGCGAAACCTTTATTTTCTCGAGCAAAATACTGCTTCCTGACTGATATTCAGCTTCCAATGACGAGAGAGGTTCCTGCAAGCACATTGCCCTGAAGATTATTAGTTTTTACACGTAAATTCATTGAATAATTGAAAATTGCATAATATTATAAAGATAAGAATTTTGATTATCTACAGATAAAGGGGAGCAAGCTGGAGTGGTGGTACAATTTCCACTTTACTGCACCATTCATTTTCTAAACAACAGCACTAGTGAAAAATAAAAAGGAAACTAAACTTTAAGATTAGCATTGATCTATCAAAAGAAAAGGCAAACTAAAATTCCAATTGCCAAATCTTTAGGGATCAAATTACAATGTAGCTTGCTCAGAAATTTAGGGTCCAGTAGGCTGCTGACTCAAAGCTGCTTTCAAACTAATCAGAGATAGAATTCCAACCCAACAGGAGTNTCGAGCAATAGAATCATTCCTTTCTTCGAAAACATGAAAAAAATGCAATGTCAACAAACTCAGACACAAAGGGAAATTGATCGATCGGGGAATCCAAAATCACCATTGTTCCGGTCACCGTTAACCAATTGTTAGAAAGATGAACAATAAATCAAAGCAGTTCAACAAAAAAAAACACCGATTGATGTGCTCCATGGAACCGATAACTTTTGTACCTATTCTATTGCAACCTGCAAATCTGAAATTATAGGAACAATAGATTGTTAAACCACTATACTCTGTATGAAGTCTATGAAAATGACAGAATTGTCTCTATTCCACAACAATAGACTGATTTCTCATGTTCTGCCAATTTTCAACAAAAACTGACTTGAAAACATTGCGAACTCCGACAAAAGTAGTCTATCTCTGCATAAAAGTTGGCGAGACATGTACAAAACGATATGCAAAAACAGAAACGTCCTATAATTGAAAACCTATATAAATATTTAAAAGTCAATAATTTTCCATCCAAACCCATGNTAAGCAAAAAAATGGTAGACAAGTTACGGCTACTGAAGAAAGAAAGTGTGTCTGATCATATGATAGATCATAGAAAGCATGTATGGTATAACGTTTTTTCCTTTTTTCCTACATTGGCAAGTGATAATGAGAAAGTATCAGCTAATTAAGTATTAAATGGAAGATTCGTGCAAGCACCCAGGGGCCCAGGCAGGGGGGGAAGAATTTAACATGCAACAACATTCCCCTCCATTAAACTGAATCAGAAAACATTAACCAAGCAATAATCAATTTAAAATTGTCTAGACAAAGGTTTATCGTTCAGTGCCAGACAATGTTCTTGCCTTGTCACCCACAAACGGAATTTTCTCAGCTTCCTCAGCCAGGATAGCAGATTGCTGTTGCATAATATCATTGTCCTTGAAATTTGCCCAATCATCAACTTCAGATGCTTGAACAGAGGTCATGGACTCCATCTCAGCATCTGTTAGGAGCCCCTCCTGTTTCTGCATCTCCATCTTTGGTGATTAGAAAAAATCACGTGCTTCTCCAATCAACCTTGAATGGGAATATAAAATCATATTATGTGCGAGCTTTAATCTAAACTAACAGTCTGTTAGCAGCAAAAATATAAAGGATGGGAAGCCTTCCTCTGCCCATAAGTAAAATGCATCCAGAAAATCTTAGTAGCAATGAAGGTTGCAACAATTATAATTTTGGAACATGAAGTAGGGTTATAGATATAGGAAAAAGGGGGTTAAAGGCATTTAACAGTTGCAAAGGCAGGTTAACTACATGTAGTTGGTGGAGTTTTTTTACATGTTTCCTAAAACATCTAAACATTACCTACTTTAGCTACTTCAACATAAATTAAGATATAACAAAAAAAAAGTTAAAAACCACCTGTAAATCAATGTAGGCTTTCCATCAGAAGCCTTGTATATCTCAAAACCAGATTTTGTCATTCACCAACAGAAAAAAGGCTGGGGAGTAATATGCCAAAGATCACCCATGGCATCAAATCTATAAAGCTAAACCAAAATCCCAAAATGCCAGGCAGCCAAAGTATCTAGGTAAAACTTAGTAAACAAAGCCTCAAATCCTTTATTATACAATAGCGAGGATCCGGTAAGGATTTGAGCCTAGAAAGGAATGGATAACCCTAGTTTAAAATCTTTTTGATGGATAAATNAAGCCTCAAATCCTTTATTATACAATAGCGAGGATCCGGTAAGGATTTGAGCCTAGATTCTGTTGGTGATGGATAAACNATCTTTTTGATGGATAAATGGAAATGGGTGTCATAACAAAGATAAATTTCCCTCAAAACAGATTCAATTTTGGAATCCTTACAACAAAAGAATAAATAACATAAAGACTGCTTAAGCTAATAAGCTCCATCGNTTCCCTCAAAACAGATTCAATTTTGGAATCCTTACAACAAAAGAATAAATAACATAAGACTGCTTAAGCTAATAAGCTCCATCGGCAAGCCAAGAACAGTTCCCTCCTCTCTCTCTCTCTCTCTCTCTCTCTCTCTCTCTCCAAGAAAAAAAATCAAAGAGTCATGTACGCAATACATGTGCACACAGGAAGAACAAGGATCCATCCCCAGTTTGATTTTGACAACAAAACACAACTGTATTTTCTAAAACCGAAGCCTTAAAAGAAGCACCTGCAATTAGGAACCTTGTCCAAACATGTTTTATAAATCTTAAAAGATGTAAATGTCTTACATTCATTCAAACATCTTTGGCACTTGCAAATTTTTCATTGAAACAATCTTAAAGTCACATAAACTGATAATTCCTTTTGCCTTCTCTACCACTCTAAGTCATTTTCAAGTTAAAGCATCTCCAATACACAGTGTATTCTCACTCAACTCTCAATTTTAGAGAGCCAACCATAAAAAATAAGCTCCAATAGACTCTATTTAGACCAGCTAAAATAGAGAGTGCAATTTGGCTCTCTATATCTGGAGAGTCAAACTCACCCTCCGCTCTATAATTAATTAAAGAAAAGATGACAGACATACCTTTTTCATTAAATGCTTTAACTATAAATGCTATTTTGCTACTAGAATGGAGAGTTCTATTGTAGTTACTACAAAATTTCACTTTTTATTTTAACTTTTTATCAAATATACTCTCTATTTTAAAAAAGATGGTCTCTATTTTCTAAAATAGAGACACTACTGGAGATGCTCTTAGACATTGACACACTTTTAAAAATCGAATAATCAAAAGTGTCAATTTTTTCCCCATCCAGAAACATACTCTATCCAACAATCCTCTTAACAAATTAGTCTTTCTCACAAGTAGATTCGGTTGGTGTTGCTTGCAATTTGACAAACCACTTTATAGAATTTTCTCTCACAATTGCCCTCAACTGCTACGATTAGCATTATCATTCGTTGGATTTCACAATAGTCCAAACCTCAAACCCATGATTTGTGTTCTCGTGATTTCAATAAGTTTGTCCATCTTGATAAGGCATCTTGAAGAAAGTCACAAAAGTGGCCAAAAATTCTAACATGTAATAGGGGGAGAGAGAAAGAGACAACAAGGAGATGTNACCACTCTAAGTCATTTTCAAGTTAAAGCATCTCCAATACACAGTGTATTCTCACTCAACTCTCAATTTTAGAGAGCCAACCATAAAAAATAAGCTCCAATAGACTCTATTTAGACCAGCTAAAATAGAGAGTGCAATTTGGCTCTCTATATCTGGAGAGTCAAACTCACCCTCCGCTCTATAATTAATTAAAGAAAAGATGACAGACATACCTTTTTCATTAAATGCTTTAACTATAAATGCTATTTTGCTACTAGAATGGAGAGTTCTATTGTAGTTACTACAAAATTTCACTTTTTATTTTAACTTTTTATCAAATATACTCTCTATTTTAAAAAAGATGGTCTCTATTTTCTAAAATAGAGACACTACTGGAGATGCTCTTAGACATTGACACACTTTTAAAAATCGAATAATCAAAAGTGTCAATTTTTTCCCCATCCAGAAACATACTCTATCCAACAATCCTCTTAACAAATTAGTCTTTCTCACAAGTAGATTCGGTTGGTGTTGCTTGCAATTTGACAAACCACTTTATAGAATTTTCTCTCACAATTGCCCTCAACTGCTACGAGTAGCATTATCATTCGTTGGATTTCACAATAGTCCAAACCTCAAACCCATGATTTGTGTTCTCGTGATTTCAATAAGTTTGTCCATCTTGATAAAGCATCTTGGAGAAAGTCACAAAAGTGGCCAAAAATTCTAACATTTAATAAGGGGAGAGAGAAAGAGACAACAAGGAGATGCTGAAGAGGAGTTAAGGAGTTGTTCTCTACAACGGTTGGTAAACGACATTCAAAGTCTAGGTGTAAACCAAGTAGCCTATGCTTACTTCGAAGTCTAGGTGGTAAATGTGTAGAGTTGGGTAAATTTTTTACTTGTATCTACCAAGCTATACTACCTCCATGTGATATCCTAGTAATTTGTCTCTTGCAACAGGCAGCTTCTATTGTTTTCTGCATGTAGAGAGGTTTAAAAACAATTCAATGTGAATTTTATGTGTTGCTTATTTGCTGGATTGTTCATCATCATTCTACGTATTCCTTGACATTCTTTCATAAAATCCTCAGGGCACCAAAGCATTCTTTAAATACTGAATTTTCTTGCATTGAAATTCATCCCTCCCAACAGGATGAAAGATCACACGGGCGGCTAATTTCTGACTGACCGATACGCATAGTTAACATCATATCACTATCGAATAACCTTATAATGCACTTCTAGTTGTAATGATGAAATGACCCATCCAATAGAATTCTACATCCAAACAGATTAAGGGTATACCAGTTATAAGTGATTAGCGAAACAAGAAAAGGACGATACACAGATCGATAATCTATTTACTTCTTTGTCCAATCTAGTTAAAGGCAGAAAGACATTCAAGCAGCAATGACTCCATATCGCATATTATCTATGAAATGCACAAAAAATACAATAATGTGCTAAATGACAAACATACTGACACATACTAAAGAAGCAGAATAACATGATTCATAACAAACTAAGGAAACGAAATGCATCGAAATGTGAACATGTCGAAATAATGACGTCAAACAGAAGCACATAATTTGTATTTTTATAGAAAAATTTAAAATGTAAAATGAAACTTCCTCCTCTAATCTAATTCCTATAAAGCATTTCTTGCGATTAGAAGTCTTAAACACTAAAATCCGACTTCTGTCAAGAAACATAAAATAATAAACAATTAGTTCTGAAGGAAGTGCACTAACCAGCAAGAGATATATAGAGATTGAAGGGGATCTTTTGAGAAGGAAGAAGAAGAGATTCTGATCTGTGTTCTTTCCCAGACGTAGCAGGAACAAGAAAAACAAGGTAGGCGAAAACGATTTACCGATGATGTGTGTGTGTGCGCGTGCGCGTGCGTGAGCGAGCGAGTGAGAGAGAGAGAGAGAGAGAGAAAAAGAGAGAGGGCCAAATTGGGTGAATTAAAGGGGTGAATTAAAGGGGTGGAAAAATCAACGCAAGTGCAGAGAGAGAGAGAGAGAGAGACAACACGCTCCTGGTAGATCAAAACCTAGACAACACGCTTCAGGGACGTGATGCCGATGCCTTTCAAACGCTAGATCAAAACCTGGCCACTTCTTGTAACCATGGTTGAGTTTATGATCGGGCTTTCAAGTTGCATTATTGGTTGGAAAATGCGGTAAAATGCAGTAAAGAAGATAAAAAAAAAAAAATGCATTTTTGATATAATTTAGTGACCTAATCAATTAGTAGCTGTTGGATTGAATGTGGATTTTATCCAATCTTAAAATTTTAATTAATTTAATGATTATATTGAATTAAGTCTTTAATTATATTTAATCTTGACTAAAATTTTTATTTAAATTTGAGTCAAAAAATAGACAAACTTAAATTTAAATATGGACAGATTTAAACGAGGATTGAATATGATTATTAAATTTTTAAAAGATAATAAAATTTAATCATTGGTGATTTGAGTAAAAGTTTGAGACACCTTTTATTTGTGTAAAAAGTTAAGTCTCTCTTAATTTGACATCTCTTTAAGTATAGAATTAGTAAAGATTTTTAAGGGTTTTTTTTACTCAAATTTAAATTTAAAAAATGGTAAAAGTTAGAATTGCTCTTAGGTCCTCAAATTAGTTTCTTATAGTATTGCTAGTAATAACATGTGTCTGAAAGCACTAAACAATTAAAAAATCTCGATCACCGATTTTGTATTATTATTTTCTTTAGTTACACAATTCAAAATTAATTTGAAAACACTATTTTTTTAAAAAAATTGACAAAATTTCTCCAAAAATCCACAATTTATTTATTTGATCATTATACCTAAAAAAATAT